GAATATTTTTATATTTAATTTTTTTTTTTTATTATTATTATTAAATATTATTTATTAGTTTTTAATTATATTTTTCTTAATTATTTATAAAAATATTTACTATAATAAATTTTACACTTTTAATATTAATTAATATTAAAAGATTTTTTAATATAATAAAATTAAATTATTATTTTAAATATATAAATTTATTTATATTATATTTATTTTTATTTAATTATTAATATAATATATATATTATATATAAATTTATATATTTTATTATTTTTTTTATTTAATTTTATAATTTTTTTTTTTATAAATATTTATTATATGTTTTTTATATTAATATTTTAATTTCTTTTTATTTAATTATTTTTTTATTTTTAATTTTTATTATTAATATATAATATTTTTTATTTAATTATATATTTAAATTGATAAAATTTTTAAATAAATTTAAAAAAATAAATATTATTATAATATAAAATATTATTATATATATTATATTAAATTATATTTAAATAAATTATAATTATTTTATCTATATATTTTTAAAATAATTTTATCTATAAATATTTTTTTAAAATAAAATAATATTTTAAATATTATATATAAAATAAGAAATTATTTATAGTATTTAATATTTATTATAATCACATAAATATATAATTGATTATATATACTAAATTAATTAAAATTCCATAATTTATACAAATATTTATATATTATCAATATATTATAATTTTTTTAATTCTTATTTATTTATATAAAGTTCAATATCTATATATAAATAATTTCATTAATTATTTACTAATAGCCAACATAAGAATAATACTTATGATTAAATAAATTAAATTTCAAAATAAAAGAAATAATTCGTAGTTTCTTCTGTTAAATATTAAGGAAAATACAGTTTTTATTAGGCTTTTATAGTACTCGTAATTCAAGCCACTGTTTTAATCTGTATAATTAAAAACTTTCTCTACTGAATAGATGGTTTGTTTTATGATAAATGGGTAATAATAAGGAAGATTATAAAAACGTACAGAGCTAAAGCGGATCTTGCATTTATTTATATTTGGATTAAAATTAGAATATAAATATTCTTATAAATTTTATTGAGGAAAATAAGGCGTAAAATACCTGATATGATTCTGGAAATAGCAGTAGATGAATCATATTGTTTTAATTATATATAATTTTTTTATATGATATATTATATATTTAATAAAAATAAAATAAAATAAAAGATTATTTTATTTAATATTATATAATTTATTATATATAATTTATATATAAAGTATATTTTTATATAATTTATTTAACCTTAATAAAATTAAATATATATTTCTAATTATTAACTATTTTTGATTATATTTTAAATTATTTAATATTTTAAATATATTATTTAAAAAGGTAAAAATCTCTTTACTTTAATCCATCTATTATTTGTTCTTTTTATGGAAAAAATAAGTATTAAAAATATAATATTTTTGTTTATAATAAAAGTTATTTTTATTTAAATTTTTTGCTTGTTTTTTTTATATATAAATTATAATTACTAATTGTATATGTAAATTTTTTTAAAAATGTAAATGTAACTATAATTTTATATAAAAAAAAGGCGGTATTTTCTTATAAATATAAGAATTTATTAATATTATAAAAATAAAATAAAAAAGTTGTGAATATTATTATTATTATTATTATTTTTTTAACAAAAAATAAAATGAATATATTAAAAGAAATGATAAATAAAGTAATATTCATATACAAAAAATACATTTCTACTTAAAACCCCAGTTAAAAAAATTATTATATAAAATAAAAATAAATTTTAAAAGTATTTTTTTATATCATCAAACTTCGATAAAAATGTCATTTTAAAAAATATAATCAATTACAGATTTAGGAAGCTATATTTTTTCAATTTGACTTAAATCTTATTATCTTCTTATATTTTTAATAAGTTATCTATAATCAGTAGATCTCATATCAACATTTATTTCCATAAAAATGCTTTAGGGAGGTATAAAATCCTTATATTAATCCCAATTAAACTCTATTTATGAAATTAAAATGAATTTATTTTCCTATACTAGTTTATGACCATTATCCCATTTTAAAAGTGTAGGAACTAAATCATATCCCAATGCAAAATAAAAATCGTGTTCAGGGTATTTTTATTTTAACTTTTCAAGCAAATAGTAGGTAGGAATAGAATAATATTCATCTACTTCAAGTGTGCATCTAATTATATAAAAATTTTAAACATTTTTTGTTTAAACAAAAAAATAAAAAATATTACATTTATATTTTTTATTATTCTTAGTTAGTAAAATGTTCTTCAATACTTAATTTTACCATATTAAGCCTTTAATAAGGAGGGGTTAATGTGCATTTATCTTTTCTTTTTCCACAAGGTGTGACCTTTTTTTATTTATTTAAATAAATTTATTGTTTATTTTAAATAAATAGAAAAAAATTACCCAAACTTAATCAACTTTATTTTAATGTATTAATTATTTAATTATTTCAATATGAGTGAGTGTAGGAGGATCAAATGTACCACCAAACACAGCAATTTTTTTTTAAATTTCCATTTTTTATTATTGTTATTTTTTATTTATTTATTTATTTTTTAATTTTTTTATTTGATTTATAATTTTTTTTTTTATATATATAAATAATTTATTTATTATTTTTGTTACCTAATTTTTCTATTAAATTTGTTAATATTAAATATTTATTCTTTGAAATTTAATAATAATTTGTTCTTTAGAATTTTCCGGGATAAAAAAATAATGTAGAAAATTTAAAAATATAAAAAAACAATTATTTCTTATATACATAAAATAAATATAAGATAAAAATTTAAAATAGATAAAAAGAATTGAAAAATAATAGAAAAAAAATTATAATATATAAAAATATTATAATTTAAATTGTAATATAGAATAACATTAATATTAAGAAAAAAATTTATATTAATTGAAAAAATATTCGTATAAATATGTATATAGATATATATAAATATATATATATATATATATATATATATATATATATATATATATATATATATATATATTAAATATTTGATATAATATTTTTATATTATTAATTTTTTTCTAAAATATATCTATTAATAATAATAATGGTTATACAAAATTTTATAGTCTTTCTTTTTATTAATGTTATTTATAATTTATTTATTAAAATATATAATAGTTTATAAAAATATAATATTTATTTAATTCAATTTAAAAATATTTTAAATTATCTTTTAGAATATTTTTTTTTTATTTTAATTTATAATTTTTTGATTAATAAAATAAAATTATTTTTATTATAACTCTTTTTATTATTTTATTAATTTTTTTTTTTATTTATTCAAAATACAAAAATAAATTAAAGATTTATTAAAAAAAATACATATATTATATATTTTTTTACATAATTTTATTCTTTCAATTCTTTTTTTTAATATCATATTAATTATTTTGTTATAAAATGCCTTAAAGACAATTTAAATTATTTAATTGGACATCTTCTTATTCATCTTAAATATTATTTTCTTCTTAAAGTTATTTACCTTATGTTTTATTAATGAAATTATCTTTTTCATTATTTAAAAATATCTTTTTAACTTCATTTGTATATAAATCCTATTAATATCTTCTTTTATTACTTTCAATTTCCAAAGTTTTTAATTATGAATTCAAGAAATAATTTTATTATCTTAAATAAAGCTTAAATATTATTATAAATATGGTTAAAATAAAAGTACATGGTGCAAAAATTAATAAATATTAAGATACGCATTAATTTTAGAAACAATATTCAGTATGTGAACAACATGTTAATTAATCTGAATTACATAAACCGCAACATTATTAATTATTTTCGCAAATATATTCTATGTCATTTTTAGAGCAACATACTGATGAATTTTTTACAATTTAAATATTCAAAATAAATAAAAAAAATAAAACTAAATTTTATTTCATTTTCTTTGTTATTATAAAATTTTATTTATATTATTTTAATAAAAATATTAAAGATATTTTCGTATTTTTATTATTTATAGAAAATTTAACTTTAACAAAAAAATTAATAAATAAGATTGAACTTATAAAAGTGTTTTTCACTTTTTTTTTTTTTTTTTTTTTAAGGTTTTATTGTTTTTGTATTAGGAAATTCTTTTTGTCAATTTTCATATTGTATTATTTTTAGTCTTATATATTAAAATTTAATCTTTTATGTTTTTATTATTTTCCAGTTATATAATAAACTTTTTAAGATTTTTTTAATAAAATTAATCAAGATTCTATATGTAAAGCTTTTTTTAAAAAAAATATATTTTATATAGAATGGTGGTTTAAGTTTTCATTTAATTAATTTTGATAGTATAAAATAAAGTTTTTAATATATAAATATTGTGTATTTTATTCTTCATATTATATAAAAATATATTTTATTTAATATAATTATTAAAAATTATGAAAGAATTAAGATTTTAAAATTTTTTGATAATTATTATTTATATATTTATTTTTTTATTAAATATTATTATAGTTTAAATGTTTGTTTAATTTTTTTATTTTCTTTTACATTAAAAATAATAAATAAAATAATCAGGACATACTATTTATATAAAGACACTTTTTATCTAATTTATATTTTATATATAATATATATAAATTTCTAATTCAAATAAAAAATCAATTATATTAAATTCAATTTAATATCTTATTTTATTTATAATCTAAATTATATTATTTATTTATAAAAAAAAAAAAATAGAAATGTTTTTTATTTAAATTTTTTTTTTTTTTTAAAAAAAAAAAAAATTTGAAATTGTATATTTATAAATTTTCATTTAAGAAAAAGTTTGAAATTTAATTTTATTTTTATTTTTTTTTTGGAGGGGAAAATGAAAAGAAATATTTTTATTTAAGACATAAATATATAATTTATTTTCAAATTTTTAGTTAATGTCCTGTTTTTTTAAATGATCAAATAATTTATTTTTCGATTGAAATTTTTCTTTACATACATTACAAATAAGAGCTTATTCTTTTTCTTTTTCTTCTTTCTCTTTTTTCTTTTATTTTTTTTATTTTTAATTTCTTCTTCTTCTTCATCTATATCTTTTTTTATTTCGTTTTTTAATTCTTCAATAAACGATTATATTCTTTATCATCTATATCATCAATAATGTTCTTATTTTAAGTTAGATTTTTTATAGATGCTTATTCTTCTTTTTTCTCCTCTTTTTATTGCCTGATTTTTTATGCAAAAAGTTTTAATTATTCTTCTTCATATTCACTTTCTTGATCTCCATATTATTGTTGTTATTTAGATTCATTTTTCTTTTCTTCTATATCAGATTCATTTTTTTTTATTATTTAAGTATTTTCTACTTTTTGATCTTATTATATTTCTTCTTTTTATTTTTTAGGTTCTTTTTAATTATTTATCTAAGTTTAGTATTCGTCTTCTTATACTTCTTTATTTTCATTTTTTATAGGTTCTTCTATATCTTCAACAAGTTTTTTTGTTTTAGGTTTTTTGTTTTTTTTTTCTTCGTTTTATTCTTGTTCATATTTTTATGTTTTTTCGTCTTTTGTAGATTTTTTATTTTCTTTTTTTTTAATTTCCTCTTATTTTTCTTCGTCATCTTCATATTTTTTTGTTTTTTATTTTTTGGGATTTTCATCTTATCGTTATTGTTTTTTAGAATTTTTTTCATCTTTTTTATCTTTTTATTTAACTTATTTTTGAATTTATTCATATTCTATTTCTTATTGCTTCTTATTAATTGTTTTTTTGTCTTTATTTTATTATTCTTTATCTGATTCTTAAAATTATTCTTCTTCTTATTATTTTTTGGTTTTTTTTATTTTCTTTTATTAAGTTTTTTCTATTACTATTTCTTCTTCTTCTTCTTCTTCTTAAAATTTTTTTTTTTTTTTTTTTTCTTCTTAGTCTTCTTTTTTTTTGCTTTTTTTATTTCTTTTTTCTTAAAATTCTTCTTTTTCTTAATCTTCTACTTCTTCTTATTTTTTATTTTTTTGTTTTTTCTTTTCTTAAAACTCTGCTTCTTCTTATTATTCATTATCTTGTTCTTATTTTTTATTTTTATTTTTTTTAGGTTTCTTTTCTTCTTATTCATATTCTTAATCTTCTTCTTGTTTTTTATTTTTTTTAGGTTTCTTTTCTTCTTATTTATTTTCTTAATCTTCTTCTTGTTTTTTATTTTTTTATTTTTTCTTTTCTTAATTTTCTTAATCTTAATCTTCTTCTTGTTTTTTCTTTTTTTCTTTTTTCTTTACTTAAATTTCCTCTTCCTAATCTTCTTGGAGTTTTTTATTTTTTTTACTTTTTTTTTAAAAAAGATCTTCTTCTTCTTCTTCTTCTTCTTTTTATTTTTTATTTTTTTTATTTTAAATGCCTTCTTCTTTTTATTTATCTTCTTCCTTTTTATTAGTCTTATTTTTAATTTTATTTTCAATTTCTTCGTCTTTTTTTTATTTTTCTTATTTTTTATTTTTTTTCAAATCTTCTTCTTCTTCATCTTCATTTTTTTCTTCTTTATCATCATCTTCATTTTCTTCAATTAAATTTTAAGAACTGATCTAATTATTATTTTTCTTTTTATTTTTCTTTTTCTTTTTACTCTATCCCACATTTCCTTATTATTATCCTCCTAAACAGACATGATTTTCCAATTCAAACTATATTTTTTCATCTAACATCCCTACTTCTTCTAAAATTTCCTTGATTCTTTTCTTATGTCCTTTCGAATTATTATGATTAGCCAACTAGGCCTAACTTTTAAAGCCTTTAGAGCATGCTTCACAGTAATATTCTTCATATAAAGCTTCATTATCATCTAAAACATCTTCATTTTCTTTATTTTTCTACTTTATTAAGTCTAATTCAGCCCATCTTCTTTCTTCTTCTTCCCTTGCTCGTATTTTTTATTCTTATTTTTTCTTTTTTTCCTCTTCTTGTTTAAATTTAAGTTCTTCTTTTTTCTTTTCTTCCTCCTTTTTTTGTTCTTCCAAAACTAATTTCCATCTTGGATCTCTTCTTTTACAAAACTCGACTAATTCTTTTATTGTATTTACATATTTCTTCTTTTCTTATGCCCTTTCTTTCTTATTTTCCTTCTCTATTTGTCTTTTTACCCATCTGTTTTGCCCTTCATTTATATTATAAGCATCACACCACGAAAAAGACTTATAAGTAGAAAATTAACTCCAGAATCTATAGAAATTTTTAACATCTTCAGTCGAATTTTTCGAGTTTCCGAATTAAGGAGGTTGTATGTATTCTTTTTCAAAATTATTTTCTTCTTCATCAGAATCATATTATTATTTAATGTCAAAAGCATTCTTTTCTTCTTTTTATATGTTCTAGAATACATCACCATATACTTTGTAAAAACCCTTTTCGTATGTATCATCATAGCCTTAATAACAGGAATGGGTGAAATATGGCCAAATGTTAAAGCCGTAGGCGTTTTATTCCATTTCTTCTTTTGACATTTCTTGGCCAAAAGTACCTTTTAATATCTATTCACGATGTTAATCATACCAACTCCTTTCTTGAGGGTCTTTTAAAACCTCATAAGCCGCATTTATTTCTATTTTTTGTTAATATATATATAATTTATGTAGGTTTTTTTCTTTTACCTTGGAATAATTCTTTGGAATTTTCGTCTTTGTTTTTGTCAGGATGGTGTTTTAATGCCATTTTTTTATATGCCTTTTTTATTTCTTCATCATCCGCTTTTCGGTCTACTCCCAAAAGTTCATAATAGCAGGTTTTCATTTACATGTTTTTTTTATTTCTTAACTTTTATTTTTTTTAATTAATTATATAAAAAATTAATTTAGAAGCTTATTTTTTTTGGCTTTCTTAGATTTTTATTGATTACATTATTTATAAATAGAAATATATGAATTAATATATATATAAAAAATAAAGAATAAAAATATATATAATAATGTTATTTTTTAAAAAAATAAACTTTTTTATAATTCATATATCAATTTTAATTGAATATTGAAAAAATATGTATATTCATATATACATAATATAAATTATTGTAGTATATTAAAATTATAGTATATTTTGCAATTTCTAATAAAATTAATAATTTAATTAAATTAAAAGAAATTCGAATATATACCGAAATCCGAATTAACCATTATTTAAAAAAAAAAAATATTTTTAGTAAGATTAAATGGTAAATAAAACCATATTAAAATAGAAAATATAATCACAACTAATAAATATATACAATTAAGTTTAAATTTATAATACAATTATTAAAAGATAAATTATTAACCAAAGAATAAAATAATTTAAAACAGAAAAAGGCTAAAACTTGCTATAAAAATAAATAAACCTCATAAATATAATGGCTTATTACAAATATAAAATAAAAATATATTTTAAAGATATTTAGAAAAATGGATGAAATAAATAATCATATTTATAATAAAATATAAAAATATAAAACTTAGGATATATATTCTTATTATTAAAAATTAAATTATTTCGAATAAACTTTTAAGAAATATTCCTTTAAAATAATAAATATAAAGTACAAAATTATAATGTTAATAAAAATTCTTATGGTTTAAACGATTAGAAAAAGTAAAAATAAAAACATTAAATTTGTTAATTTTAACGATATAAAATGTAAATAGAAAAAGAAATAATAAAAAAATCAAAACCTATTAGAGAGAGAGAATTTAAAAATAACAAAAGTATTATTATACAAAAGTAGATAAATAACATTTTTTAAAAAATAAAAATAAATTATAAAATAAAATAGATGTATTAATAATAATAAATAAATAATTAAGAAATAATAAAAAATAAGCTTTATTATTTAATATAAAAAAGAATATATAATAATTAAAAATTAAAAAATAAAAAGATTAATTATTGGTAATATAAGAAAAAATTTAATTAAGTAAAAAATATAAAGAAAATATAATAATAATAATAAATAGAAAAAATAAGATTAATTATTATAATATAAATAATATCATATCTAAAATAAAAAAAAAATATTAAAAACAAAAATACAAATAAAAATTTTTAATAATATAAAAGAATTATTATAAAAATATTATAATATATGTAAAATTTTTAAAAATTAATTTAAAGATAAAAATAAAGTATATATATATAAAAATATATATATAAAAATATATTTATATATTTATATTTTATATATATTAATATATATAATTAAAAAATTTTCTATTTATTTTATTATTATAAAATTTATTTTTATTTCATTTTTATCAATTATAATATTAAATAATTATTTTTTATGATATAGATAATTTTGTATTTAAATATTTATAATATATTTTTTTAATTAATTATAATATCAATATAATATGTATATTATTTTTTAATTTAATATTTTTATCCCTCTATATATAAATATTTTATTTTATTAATAATTTTAAGATAATAATTTATTGTAAAAATAAAAATTACTTGATTAATATTATAAAATTTAAGTTTTTTTTTTTTTTGATAAATATAATTAAATTTATGAAAAATATAATTTGCTTAAATAAAGAAGAAAAATAATAAAAATTAATAATATTAATTTTATTTTATATGAATATTTTTAAAAAAACGATAATTTTTATATTTTAAATATATTTTAATTTTTATAAAAAAATAAATTATATTAAATAGATTTAAATATATATATATATATATATATTTGAATAATCTAATTTGTTATAATAAATTAATAAAATATATGAAATAATAACACAAACTATATTATTATAATTTATATTTTAAAATAATTATTTACTTATAATTTTATAAAAAGTGTAAATTTTATCTAAAAACATTTTTTGCTTGATTTTCTTTTAAGAAATAATATTTATTAATATTAAAATTATTATTTTATTAATATTATTTTTATTAAAACAAATATTATGTAAAATAATAAACTTTATAAATAAATATCTATGAAAAATTGCAATATAAATTAATAAGATAAATTTCAAATTAAAAAAGTAAATTAAACACATAATTTATAAGGTTCTAAATATTAAAGAGAGGTTTATTATATAATATGAGAATTTATCTTTATAAAAAAAAAAAAATAGATTGAACTTTAAAATGGAGAAACAATATAAACAATAGGATTTATAAATAAATAAAGTTTATCAAATAAAATAAATATTTCATATCTAAAAGTAATATAAAAAAAAAAAAAAAATATTATATTTGATTAATAATTAAAATATTAAATAAGCCGAAATAGTTTTTAAAAAGAATTTTAAAAAAATATTTATTTCGCTTTGGGAATTCTTTTTTGATCTTAGTTTATATTATTTTATATTTAACGCCTTTAAAAGAAAAAATTAGTTCAATAATTTCAATTAAAGTGTAAGATAAAATAAATATAAAAATATTAAAATAAATATATAAATTTTTATTTATTTATATATATATATATATATATATATTTATATTAATATAAATATTTTATTTAAATATATATACTTATTTTTTATTATTTTTTATAAATATATTTTTTTATTATTTTATTATAGTTTATATAATGATAAGCTTTTATTATTTTAACTTTTTTTAACTTTATTAAGTTAAATTTCATTACAAGTGTTTTATGATATTTAAAAATTAAAATATTAAAGATATTTAAATAATTAGAAAGCTACAATATTATAAAGATTTAACAATTAGATTTAATTTTAAAAGGATATTTAAAAAAGAAAGAACTTTTCTATTTATAAGAATATAAATACTGAAGAAATATAAGTAAATTATCATTAAAATTTTATATTATAAAAATAAAAATATAAAGAATAAAAAAAAAAAAAAATTTAGATAGGAGATATACTTTTTATTAATTAAAATGAAACAGTCTAGGCAGATATCATTATTTTAGATATCAGTGATAATATAGCCTCATTTGATATTCAAAAAAATACAGGAATTTCTTTTTCAAATATTAAATAACCATGTAGCTTAACCTACAGTATTTTTTTTTAAATTGAAATTTAATAAAAAATAATTAATTAGTTTCTAAATCTTCAAAAATGAAAGGAAAACATTTCGATTTTAAAAAAATTTTGAACGGAAAATTTAATTATTATTGTCCTAATATAAGAGATTAATAAGGCTTTGAAGGCTTCTTGAAATTACAAAAAGACCCTTCTGGGACTATTATAAGTGAATAAAATATAGCCAGAAGGGGAGAAGTATTGGAATATGCAGATTGGTGTTTGGGTTTGGTAATTTATTGTGGTATAGATTGTTAATATTTTACTTAATTTGAGGGAATATAGTAAAATAAAATGAGCTATTTTGTTAGAAAAGGAGAATAGTTATTCGGTATATATTCATTTTTTATATTATTTCTTTCTATCATTAATTTATTGTATTAATTTACTAATAATTGTATTGATAATTAAGAGAATTAAACTAATTCTGGTAATATTTTTATTTCTTATATCAATGATTATTCAATATTTTATCCATAATTGCTTTATTTTATTTTGGATTTTTTAAGTATTTTAAATGGATTTTTAGAAAATAATAAATTTAATAAAAAATAATTAATAAAAAAAGACAAAAATAAAAATTAATAATTTTAAATTAATTCAGAAAAAGAAATTTCAGATTTACATTTAAGTACGCATGTTTTTTTGGAAAAAAGTACACTTTTAAATTCTTTATGCAATTTTTCTATTTGCAAATTATATTTAATAGATTCTTCTTATTAATTTTAATCTTTTTAAGAAGATGAAAATTATTAAAATAAAGATTAGAATTAAGGTAAAAAAAATTATTTAATTAATATAAATATATATATATATATATATATATATATATATATATATATATATAGAATTTAAAAAATAATAAACATATAATAATAATGATGATTATGATATCTTACCATTTAAGAAATCTATTTCTATGAAAAATGCAAATAATTTAATAATTAGAACTAAAATATAAAATAATATGTTTATTACTACAGAATAAATGTTTGATGAAAATGTTTTATTAAAGAAATCTATTCCTATTACTAAGTAGGTAAAGCATAAAGGAGATCTAGAAATATATTCTACTTTATTATTAAGATAATTAAAGTACACATTAAGTAACTAATAGAGAAATTCTCGCAGCTTTTCAGCGTAATAAAGTCTTACTATCAAAAAGGAAGGAAACGAAATAGAAGATGATAAAAACAACAAATTAATATAGTCTATAAATATGAAAAGATAAAAAAGTATCACTTCTATAAATTAAAAGCCTATAGAATAAGATTAAGGCAAATATTTGAGTCCTTAGGAATTTACTGAATGTATATATAGCACTATAAAAATAGATTAGAAATAAAATGAGATTACTATTATGGATAAAGTATAGGAAAATAATAATAATAGATATTCCTTAAAAAAAATGGTCTAGTAAAGTATTTACTTTAATACAAATAAAAATACAGGGGGGATGAATTGTTTAGGATAAAGTAGCTATAACAAATTCGAAAACTCTTAAATCCAAGTTTCTCCTTTAAGAAAATTAACTAAAAAAGTAGCAAGTATTAACATTTTCCCTTAATTTAATGAAATTAAACTATATGAAGAACTCTAGAATAATACTTAGAAGTATGAATAATAAAATTTGATATTTTTAGCTGTTAATATATGCCATATTTCTAGGACAGTTTTTATACCAAGTTTGGGGAAAATTAATAATAGTAATATTAATTTTTACGATAGGTTATTTCTTGATTTTAGTAATAAATTTGGCTTTACATTTAAATGTGTGTCAAAGACTAATACAAAGTCTAAATAATATATAATTAAAAAAACTAGAATATTATTATTGCTGAAGTACTTATTCCTCCTGTTTATAATATAAGAGAAACTAGACTATAAATATTGGTAAAATAAGATAATTAATATTTTATTTATACGAGGTAAATTTAAAATATATAATTAAATTTATATATTTATTTTTTTAACAGAGAAGAATTAAATTATTAACCATAATATTTAAAAACAAGTAGTCTATATAAAGAGAAGTTAAAGGAGTAGTTATAATTTATGTTAGAAAAGGGCTAAATAGGTATTCTTTATTCCAGAAAGAACATAAGTTAGGAAACAGTTAATTAAATGGTAGAAAAATATGGGGCTATATCTAAAAATTTAAACTCTTTAGAGAAGAAAATATAGACATATATTTTATATAAAGCTTAAATATTTGATATGCAAATGATAGGACTTTTTGGTATCAAATAAAATTTAAATCGTAATGCTATTTAATTAATAAATAATCTAAAAAATGCAGAAATTAATATTTTTTTACTTTCTGGAGATTCATATTTGAGATCAGTGGCAGTTGGGTATGATTGCGGGATTTTTGATGGGAATAATTAAATTTTGAGGTTTTAAATTAACAAAGACAATGAAATAAAAAATTAAATGATTAATAATTTAAAGAAATTAAAATAAAAAATATAGTTTAGAAATTAAAAAACTTTCATGTTTAATAATTATAGTAAATATTTATTTTATACACATAAATTTATTTTTTATTAAGATTAAAAAATAAATACTAGCAATAGTTAAAGTGTTATTAATCCTTCTTTTTATGATGAAAATAGAGTTTTTTTACTTTTAGATGGCATGAGTTTTTCTTAAATTATGAAAAATAAATATTTACGAAATCATTTTTGTTTTATTCTATATTTTTGTGATAGTTGTATAGGATATTCTTTAAATTAGTTTTAAAAAGGATAATTTGTAACATTAATTAAAAATTTAAATAAATGTAAATATAAACATATATACATATATAATATATATATATATATATATATTTATATTTATATATTTTAAAAATCATATTTTTATAATTAGAATCTTTTTATACTTTATCAATTGGATAAAGTTTAAGTGATATTTTAATGATGTAAAATTCAGATTATTCAATACAGTATGAGAAGTAAAATTATTTAATAAATATTGATAATTAATAAAACTAATTATTGGATAATAATAATATAAAATTTTAAAATAATAATATTTAAAGTAATAATTATTTTAGTGATTTAAAAGTACATAAAATAAGCACTATTAGTTATTTGTTATTTTCATATAGTAAAAATTCTTGTGAAACAATAGAAGATAGTTTATATTTTATTATTTATAGGAATATGTTTTTATTATTTTTGGCCTTTTTATGGAATATATTTACATGTAGTTATGGTAACATTATTTTTGATTTTTATGATATTATTTAATTGAATATTTAATTTTTGTTTTTATACATCCTTTTTGTTTACAGGAAAAAATAGAAAAGTAATAAACATAGTGTATACATTCATGTATATACTAAATAATTTAAATAAAATAAATACTTCTTTACTGATGTTTTTTATAAGTTCTTAATTTTGTTGATTCCTTAATCTCTTTTGGATTCTTTGATTTTATTTTTTTTGCTTTATTAATGTAATAATCAAGCTGTAATTTTAAACGGAATGCTTTTCGAATAATATTAAATTCTTTTTTTGAATAAAATACTATTTATTTATCTTACTCATTTTAAATTAATTTTTTACCAAAATTAAACCAGAAATACTTTCTTGTGTAATTTAATATTCCCTAGTATTTTTCTATGTATTAATATATTTATTACTTATTATGATACAGAATTTTCCATGTATTATTCAGTAAATATGATTCTAGTTGTAATTGTGGTCTTTTTAAATTTTTCTGTTGTTAATTTCTTACTTAGACTTATTATTCCTTTATTGAATGTGGGAATGATGAGAAATTAAGATAGGCTTATGAGTATTTTTTAATAGGTTTAAAATAAAATCATCTAAAAGCTATAAAGAGGAGGAAATATGAGTACTTAATATTAATAATAATAAAACTCTTATTCTATAAATTAATAATAATAAATTCAATTGTAAGGTTCTAAATTAGAAAGTATTTAGGAAAATAATACTTTTTCAGAAAATAACAGATAATAAAATTTAATTAAAAGATAAATTAATATTTCTACTTTAAGTTTGATTTTTAGAATTGTTTTCCGTGACGATGAAATCGATAATGTTCTTTAAGATTTAAATAATGAGAATTTTAATATAAATACAACAAAAATAAATCGCCTTACTTTATGTTTTAAAGATATTGAAATCTAAAAAAAATTCTTTTAATAAGAAATTTAAGAAAATAAGAAAATATTTATCATTAGTTGTATTATATTTACATTTTCAGTAGATGTTTTAATAGTTTTTATATAAGAAGAAGTAAATTAAAATTAAATTAAATTAATTATGGGAAAAATAGGTACCGAAATAATTTTTTGGCTAATATTATTTTATAAATATGCAAAAACATTTACATATATCAACTACTCTTTTCTTTTTCTGAGATTTATATATAGACTATTATATTTAATATTAAGTAATTTTGAGGATAATATATTGTAAACTGTATTATATACTTTAGTTTTTAGTTATAATTTAATGATTAATCCTTTAATTTAATGTGCAATTTAATTTAGTTTAGTTTTTTTCATTTAACAAAGTTTTTTTATAAATAATTACAAAATACAGAAATATATTAAAATATTTATTTCTAAATATATATTTTGTTAAATGTTTTTATTAATACTTCAATTTTTACTTTAATTCTATTCAGAAGAAAATATTAACATGATATTTAAAAAAGAAAAAACTTTTAAAGAATTAATAAAATAGTATTGGAAACTAAAAAAATCAATAATGTACTTTCTATACTTCTCCCAAAATTTATAAGAGATGTAATAGATGAAAAAGGAGTTAAATATTAAGAAGATTAAGGAAAAGTGGCTATTCTATTTTGCGATATATATGATTTCGATTCAATTATATAAGTTGAAAAAGGAAACATAATAAAGCTACTCGATTAGCTTTTTAAATCTTATGATAATATATGTAATATTAACGGTATTTAAAAAATAGAGACTGTAGGTAAAACATATATGGCAGCATGTGGACTTAAAGGAATTAAATAATAATAAAATTAATCGGTTATTAAAAATATACATCCAGTTATTAAATGTATCCTTATGGCAAATGAAATGCTTAATCAAGCAAAAAAAACTATTTATGGAAAGTTATAAAAATCTATTAAAATAAAAATTGGAATACATTATGGAGATGTAATAGCAGGAGTTATAGGAGGGCATAAACCATAATTTTCGTTGATTGGAGATACGGTAAATACAGCCTCTAGAGTATGCTTTAATGGAGAAGTGGATTGTATAACAATTTCTAATGATGCTATGAGTTCTTGTATAGATGAAGTATTTTTTTTATTATATAAAAAAAATATATAAGATAAATAAATATTAAGAATATATGAATAAATAAATATATATATATATATATTTATTTATATAAATATATTTTTTATAATTATTAATTAATTTTATTTATAAATTTTAATCATTTTTTATATTAATACATATACATTTATTTATTTAAATTTTATAAAGCTTAAAATACTAAATAAATCTTAGTTTTTAGAAGTATAATAATTTAATATAAATTTTATAGAAAAATTAATAAATGCAAAAGGAAAAGGTGTACTGAAAACTTATTAAATATAATTTAAACCTATAAAGAATTATTTTACTTAATCAATAAAAAAATAACTGAATAAATTCTTTATAAAGATAATAGTTAAATTATGTGTAACAGTATTGCTTTTAATTTTTTTAAATAAGAAATAAATAAGTAAAAATTAAGTTATTTGAATTTTGATAAAAACTTATTCTAAAACCTTAATGAATCTCCTCTTACTACTTCTTTTATATAAAAAAATTAACTCGTATGCAAATAATAACAAGAATTCAACTTAAAAAACCAAGATATTAGTAAAAATACCGAGACTATATATGATAGTAATTAATTTTAACCTTAAAAATCAAACTCAAACTATGTAAATAAAAAAAATTACATAATAATATAAATATATTAAAAAATAAAGGATTAATTTTTAGCATATAAATAATTAGAAGATGAATTAGGTATATGTCCAAAATTAGATGAATATAAATATTTAGAAGACTAAGAATTAGAGATTGAAAAAGCTTAATAACATTTTTCAGAAATGGCAAATGAAAATATAAATATAAACATATAGCATTAAAATTTTAATAAAAGTGTGAATTTTATAAAATTAATAAAAGGAGAATATAATAAAGAATTCGAGAATTACTACGAATCTTAATTAGTAGATGTAAGATTTAATATAAAAATATATAATAGTATTATAATAATTAAAAATTTGGTGGAAATTTTCTTAATAAAGTTAATGGGAGAAGATATTATTTAAAATTTAAATGTTTAAATTGTTAATAGAGTTATTTTTAATACACTTTTTTTAATTTAATTTATTTTAAGTAAAATTATTCTAAAAAGAAGTGTTAAGTTTATAAAAATTATTATTGGGTAAGTACATATTGGGTATATTATTTTAATGGCATATGAAGGATTCTATTTGATGAATTCGAATTTTAGTATAGTTACTAAAATTTATACTGCAAATGTAATTTTTGTTTTTGCAATTCTAATTTAATATAAATTGTTTTAGTAAAATTATATTATATATATTATTATAATATATTTATATAAATATATATATATATTATTAATAATAAATTATATAAATATATATATTTTTTTTTATATTTATAATTTACTTTAATAAATAGCATATATGAAAAAATTATAATCTGTTTATTTATTTTAGTTATTTATTTTATTTTTTTTTATACCAACGCATAATTTGATTTAGAATAGTTTTATTTTTTTTTTTTAATAATTATAAGCTTACTATTTATGTAAATAATTTATTTAGAACTTGATTTTTGCAGTTATAAAAATCGCATAATGTTAGATTAAAAAATGAATGATTAAAACTAACTCCTTGAATATCTATTACCAGGGCATATAAGAGATAGATTTCTGGAAAACTAATCAAAATCAATTAATTTAGTAGATAACTTTGACAATGTAACTATATTATATGCTGATATTGCGGGATTTACGAAATATTCGGCTAGTGTAAAACCTGAATAAGTAGTTTTTATGTTAAGGGAACTTTTCACAAAGTTTGATGAATAATGTTAATAAAATAAACTTTATAAATTATATACTATTGGTGATTGTTATGTTGTTATGAGTTTAGTCTCTATAAGTAACCGAAATCATATACAAGAAGCTAAAAATGGTAAAAAATAAAATAATAAAGAATTATTAATAGTAAATTATAAAAATTAGTTATTAATTTCGGATTCGAACTAATAAAAATTATAAATTAAGTTCGAGAAATTATTAGTTATAAAGAATTAGATATGAGAATAGGTATTCATACAGTAAAAATTATATTCTAAAATATTTTAAAATAAATATAAAATAATATATATATATATATATATATATATATATATATATATATATATATATATATATATATATTTAAATTAGGGTTCAATAATTGGAGGTGTTGTTGGTACAGGAGTTGTTAGATATGATATATATGGACCTGATGTTGTAATTGCAAATAAAATGGAAAGTAATGGATAATAAAATAGAATTATGATTAGTGAAAGTACGTATTAATTAATACATGAATCTTGCTAGGATATTTATATTTTTGAAGATGAAAATGAGGTTAATATATCTTCTTTAAAAAAGACCATAAAAGCATATTTTGTGAAGAGATAAAATGACGACTTGATTTCTAAATTATCTGTTACTTCAAGTAAAAAGAAATATATTAATTAACAATGAAACAAAAATATCTTTTAGATATTAAATTTTTTATTTTTATTATTAAATATGTATAAAAAAACACCCATTTTATTTAAAAATCATATATTAACCATCTAATCTTCAATAAATTAAACCCAAAAAGAGGTTCCTATTAAAATACTTTTCTCGTCTATAGTAAAAAAAGGCGAATGATGAGGCCTAAGTACCTTTTCTTCTTAAATACTATTTTCAGGTGCGCTTCCAACCATTAAAAATCCACTAGGTACTTTTTAAGAAAAAAAAGTAAAATCTTCCCCTGCAAGACCAAAATTATTATATATAAAATTTTTTTCACCAACTACTTTTTTTGCAGTCTTTTCTATTATATTAAAAGCCTTTTAATCGTTTACTACAACATCATACAGAAGTTAGTATTCGAATTTTATTTAACATTCATACGCTATAGCTAATCCATTACATATATCTTACATTCTTTTTATTAATAAACTTCTTGCCTTTTTATTATTACTTCTAAATCCACCTTTTATTAAAAAAATAAATATAAAAATATATATATATATATATATATATATATATATTTATATATATATATATTTTTTTTCACCTATAATCTCACAATCAGAAGCTATTATATTACCTCCACCACTTCCTGAGGTAATTTTGCCTACACAAATAGTAGCTTGTTCTCCAGGAAATACATTTCTACTTATAATCGTTTAAAAATTACATACTAATTGACATCCAATAACTAATGCGTCTTTACATTAATTTGGCAATGAACCATGACCTCCTAAGCCTTAAATATTAATTTAAAACCTATCTGAATTTCCTGTTATGGGACCTGAACATGAAATAATAGTTCCTGGGTAGTAATTATTTAATAGATGTATTCCAAAACACATATCTACACTAGGATTTTCTAAAACAGGATATTTTGGATCTTCAATCATTTTTTTAGCACCAGCTCCGCCTTCTTCAGCAGGCTAAAAACATAATTTCACAGTACCGTGTATTTTTTTATGCCAGTCTTTTATTATCTTAGCAAGACCTAATAACATTGCTACGTGACCATCGTGGCCACATGCGTGATGTTTTCCTGGAATTTTACTAGAATATGGATCACCGGAATTCTCTTGGACAAGAAGAGCATCCATGTCGGCTCTTAAAAGATAACATGGACCTTACTTTTCACCTTTTAGTATGCCTACAAGACCGGTTTTTCCTACATTTGGAATTACTTAGTAACCAAATTCGATTAAATGGGATTTTATTAAGTCGGAAGTTTAATGCTCTTCATATGCTAGTTCGGGATATTAGTGGATTTAACGACGAATATTGATTATAAAGTCTTTGATTTTAAGAACTTCAGGATGGAGGTTTTAGGTGTCCATATTTTTTAGATATTTTATATATATGACGAATTAAAATAAAATAAATTAGAAATAAGTGTTGTATAAAAATTAATTTTTATTTAATAAGAGAATAAGTTTAAATATTATATAAATATAATATAATTATATTATTATATTTATATAAATATAAATATAAATATTTATTAATATATATATATATATATATATACATTTTTTTTTATTTTTTTTATTATATATTTTATTTTATAATTTTATTATTTTATAAATTTTTACGTTTTTTTTGTTTTATATAATATATTTTATAAAATATTAAATTTTATTTTTATTTTATAATTTTTTTTTTTTTTTATAAATAAACACAATTAAAAAAATGTCTTTTTAATAAGATTAATAAATAAATAGTCTATAAGGAAATTTAGCATTTAAAATTCTCGCAGCATTATTAAAATCAGAAAAAATAAATATAGAATAACATGATATTTATAAATAAAAGTTTGAAAATTTACATAATCTAATATCAAATTCATTTAAAAATTAGAAATAATATCCAGTAATATTAAAAAAAGTATAAGCAAATATAATATGTGCAAAAGAATAATTAGAAATATAAAGTCATGCTTAAGATTTGGTACAAGATAAGTTAAAAAATACTTAAATATAATGTAAAATACATGAATAAGAAGAGGAATGTCTTAAGAAAAGTTTAGATTAATAGAATAATGAATTAAATAAAATTTAAGCTATTTTATTAGAAAAAGTATTTTTATAAATTAATATTAAGTATTAATAAAAATAAAGGAAAGTGATATATAAGAAGATGAAAAAAATATAAGATTTAAAACGCAAGAGTTAGAAAATAATTTAAAGTAATAATTAGAAAAATTAAAAGATGAAATTTCTAAAAAAGTAAGCAGTATTGAAAATGAAAAAAAATATTTAAATGAATAAAAAAATAAAATTGGTATTTATGAAAAAGAAAATAATGATTTAATAATTGAAATAACTAATAAGAATAATTAAATAAACGAAGTATGATATTTATATATATATATATATTTATATTTATATATGAATTCTTTTTAAGCTTAAATATGAACCTATAAGGTTGTAAAAAAAATAAGATATAATTGCTTCAGCTATTAGATTAATGCAAAAAGATTTAGAATAATTTTAAGAGGATATTTAAAAAATAAATAAATAAATATTAGAATAATAATAAGAGATTTAAAATTTAAATTTTAAAGAAGGTGAAATTAATACAAAAAATATAGATGAATTAACATTCATTTAATAGGAAAAATTAACAATTAAATAATTTAAAGATGAAATAAAAAGATTAAAAACGAAAATCGAAATTCAATAAAGGTGATAAAAAAAATTATATATAAAAATAATATATATATATATATATATATATATATATATATATATATATATTCTTTACATTTTTTCTTTTTCTAAAATAATTATTATTTTATTAAATAGTTTAAGTTATACAAATTAAATTGAATTGGATTAATAAAAAAGAGAAAATTAACGTATTTAAGATTTAGATGTCACTTTAAGAAAATAAATAGAATTAATAAAATACGAATATAAACTTGAAGAGAAATTAATTAAATTAATAAAAGATAAAATATATGAAATAGAAATATCAATTGATAAAATACAAAGGTTAAAACAATAAATAAATTGTGAAATTACATAACTTTAAGATAATTAAGAAAATATTGGAATTGGCAATAAATTAATTTAATATAAAGTCATTTAAATAAGAAAATTATTTACTGATAAAAACTAATAAAAAGCTTATATTGAGTAATAAATAAGAGAACTAGAAACTTAATTTTAAACTTAAAGATAATTGGAATAATTTACTTTAAAGAAAATAAAAAACCTTACAAATTTAAGAGAATCTATGTCTAGAAAAGCCTCTTAAGCGTGTTTTGAAGTCAGACAATCTCGAGAGGAATTAAAAATGTTAGAATTAACTATAATTAATTTATCTAAAAGATATTAAGAAGAACAAATTTAATTAAATGGAATAAAAGAACTCTACGAAGAAGCAAAAAAGTCAAGAAATACGTTTGTAATTATGATACAGAATTCTTTTTAGAACTTAGCCGAATTAAAGGAAAGAATTAAAATTACTCAAAATGAAATCGAAATATTAAAAAATGAGGCTTTAGAGAAAGAATAGAGTAAGGTTTAATTTGAAATTTCTTTAAAGGTTTAAATAAATTTAAGAGATAGGCAAAACTTTTAATTAAATAGATTTTAATATAAAAGAAAAACAAGTAGGCAATTTGTAGATTAAAATGTAAGCGAAATTGAAAAACTAAATATGATTTTTTAAGGGCTTGATATGTAAATTAAATCCGTTACTAGAAAATTCGAATTATGTTAATAGGCGAGAAATTATTTGGGAATTTAGCTTATTGATAGAAATGATGAATTATGTATTTTTTATGAAAAATCGAATATTTTTGAAAAAATTATAATAAATGGCGAAAATCTAATTAAATAATAAGAAGATGATATACGTATGATAAATATAAATATATAAGAAAAATAAAGGCAAGTTTATTTAGTTTAAAAATAAATTTAAACCGTTCCTGTATTGGCTTAATAAATAATGTAATATAAATTAGATTTAAATTAAAATAAAAAATATTATTTTGAGCTTTCTTAGAAATTAGAAAATCCGGAAAATGTAGAAAGATGGAGAGATTTAGGCGGACAAGATTTAGATGATGAGTAGTTAGAAGCTAAAATATAAATATTAGATGAAAGATTAAATAAAAAAAAGGAATAAATAATTGAAAAAGACCTAGTATTAGAAGAAATAACGAATATTTCGAATGAATTAAGGGATTAATTAGTCAATAATAGACAAAATACACTAGAAACAAGTGAAAAATTAAATAATTATGAAATTAAAATGAAGAAAATTACTAGATAAATGATGTCTACAATTGCAGAGCTATCAGTATATTAAGCTACAATAGTAAAACTATTAAAAGAAAGAGAAGATTTAGCAAAAATAGTAAATGAAGCTATTGAAAAGGAAAACAATAAAGAACCACCAACAATAGAATGTGAATTAGAATATTAAAAAATTCTAAGAAGTTAATTAAAATATCATGAAGAAAGAAAAATAAGACTAGAAAAAAATGAAATAGAAAAATAAATACCACCTTTTGTTACAAAAACTACAGCTTAACACAGATATGTTTCATATATAGACTCTTAAGATGATGTGGGATTGCCAAAATCTTATGGATAATATGCACCATTTAAGCCATCTGTTATTATTAATGCGAATATGTATTATAAGAAACCGATAATTAAAGATGTTGTTATATGAATTTGTATATTATTTTTATATTTAAATAAATAAATACAATAATAAATATAAATATAAAAAATTATATAAATATAATTTATTTTATATTTAATTTTATTATAATATTTATATATATATTAAATATTATATATAGATTATATTATTATATTTTTCATAATTTTATTTTATAAAAATATAATTAAAAATTATATTTATTTATATTATTGATTTTATTATGATATAATTTAAAAAATAAATATATTTATAAAATAAATATTTATTAATTAATATAAAAATATTAAAAATAAAACCTCTAAAATTAAAGAAAAAAATGTAAGAAAAATAGGAATACAGTAGTAATGATTATGTTAAATAAAATAATGAAAAAATGGAATAAAATAAATAAAAATAAATAATATCTTAAAATTAATAAGACTAAAAATAAACTTCTTAATTTTCTGATCCTATGAACTAAAACAAATAATAATAATAATAATAATAATAATAATAATAATAATAATAATAATAATAATAATAATAAAACTTGCCTTAATAAATTTAAAAAAAAAACTAGATTATTACCTGTTAAAAATATATAATAAGTTTTAATAAGCCCTATAAAAAATTAATCTTAATTAGTATAGACAGGTTTAGTTTAAACAGGAATACATGAAATCATAAAAGGTGAATCTAGAATTGAATATGTTCCATATGAAAAATCCACAATAGAATATTAACCTGTATAAAGAATAGAATATGTTCCGAAAGAAAAAAAAATCATTGATTATTTTGCTGTTGAATATTAAACTGAGTATATTCCTTAAATATATTAAGATAGATATATTGAATATGTCCCTTAAGAAAGAATCTAAGAAAGAATAGAATATCTTCCCGTTGAAAAATAAATTGTTCATAAACCTTAAACTGAATTATAATAATAAGTAATTACTTAACCAGTTGTTTAATAATAACTTATAACATCTTAAGTTACACTACCTGTATAGGCTGTATAAGTTGTAGAACCTGCAGTCTAAATATTGCAACCAACATATTAAGTTGTATAACCGACATACTAAACATTATAACCAGCAGTTTAAGTAATATAGCCTGAAATTTAGACTGTCTAATATGTAAATTATTAACCTTTAAGTATTATCACATAACCAAGTTATGAATATATTTAGAATAGTTATTAAAATTAATAATTATATACACAATAATAACCAATATATTATATACCATTATCATAATAAAATATTTATAATATTAATAACAATAATAATGCATATGCTTCATAATCTACATATGTTCCTTATAATAATATACTAAGATAAAGATATCTTGGAACATATTAACCAGAAGAAGTATAATTGGCTTTAAAAGGAAACTAATATTATTGAAAAAAAAAAATAGATAAATTATTAAAAAAAATATATATATATATATATATATTATATATATATATTTATATATATTTTTATATTTTTATATAAATTTTTATAATAAATATGATATTTAATTTTTTTCTATTTTTTTTTTAAATAATTATTTTAAAAATATTATATATATATATATATTTTTTAATTAATAGTTATTTTAATAATTTTTTTTTTATTATTTTTTTCATATATAATTAAATTTAATATTGAATTTTAATCAAAATGTTTAATGCTTAATGTATAAAATTTAATATTTAAAAAAAAAAATATATTATTTTTATTTAATTTATTTTTTAAATTAATGATTTTTTTTTTTTAATATATTTAATTTATTTTCTAATTAAATTAAAATTCTTAATTTTAATTTATTTTTTAAAATAATATTTCTAAAAATAAATAACAAATACATATTTCAAAAATAATTTTTCACATAAAATTTAATAACTATTTTTATTAATATAAAATATTAAATTTTAATCAATGATTTTTACTGAATTAATTTTCAGTAGATTCTATAGAATTTGCTAAAGTTTTACTATCAGGTTAAATAAGTGTTAAGCATTCATCTACATAATTTACACCTGACCATCTTAATAAATAAATAAATATTTAAAATATTTTAAATATTTTTCATAATTATTAATTAATAATATAATTACTTCTAATGTGTTAATTAATCAACTTTATGCTTCTCTTCTTCTCTTTAGACAGTTTCAACATAAGCCAACATATGTCTTTAAGCTAAATCTTTTGACAATTATTCTGATTTTAAGGCATTCATATGAAATCCTGCCAATGTTATAAACTACCAAGAATATCCTAATTTACCTAATTATTCACAGAAGCCTTAAATATATTCATTAGACATTCCAAAAGCACTCCAATTAAATGAAGGGGATAAATTATAAGCCAAAAGTTTATTAGGGTGTACTTTTTTGACTAAACTAGCGAATTTAGTGGCAGTTTCAATAGTAGGAGTTGGAGTTTCCATCCAAACCATATCTGCATATTTCAGATATTCATTAGCTCTTGCAGCACATAATTCAGGAGATCCTTCAATATTGTAGAATCCTTCACTAGATCTATTAGTTTCCCAATCAAATTAGAAAGAAAATCCTAATGTTTTAGCATATTAAATAGCCTATTAATAACTCATAGTGTAGCATTTAGACATCCATTATTAGGATATTTAATCTCTTTATGCTCCTTAAAATTATTTTTTAATCTATTATAAACCAGCTTCAGGGAAAGATCTTTCTTTTCCATCATCACAAATACCCAAAATATAAGGTTAATCAATAGGATCTATATTAGAATCAATTAATTTAGCACCCAATGCATCAGTTCTGGCTAAAATTATCAATTCAGTACCCATAATATCGGCTTATAATCTGCAAGCAATTAATCTATTGACGTGTTCACGGCAAGAAACTATTACTTTTCCACCCATGTGTCCGCATTTCTTATTACCGGGTCTTTAATCTTCAATATGGATACCTGCAGCACCTGCTTAGATGAAAAGTTTGATTAACTTCATGGTTGATGTAAGACCTCCAAATCCGGCATCAGCATCAGCTAATAATGGAGCTAAGTAATCAACTCTGGGTTTTTTAGCCCTTTATTCAGGCGTCATGGAAGATCTTTCTTAATTTTAAATTTTATCTTAATTTAATTAAGCTTTGAATAATTAATCGACTTTATTTGGTACTGTATCAGCAGGATAATCAGCAAAATCAGGACCAGGTTCATTAGTAGTAGAGGCTGATACGGAACATTACCATCCAGAAACGTATACAGTCTTGAGATATTTGGAAAGATTAATAACCTAAATAGGGTCTAAAGCTCCATATGTCATATGGAAATTACCGGTAAGTTGGGCATCTTTTAATAGCCTCCACATTTTTTTAGCTTAGATGTTTGAAGGATATTCTATATGGATGGAAGGACGAAGACTAGCTACTTATCTAGCAGTGTAGGGACGCTTTACTCCTGTGTATCTAGGGGTATCCCACCATTTTTATATTTCAGATTCTATTTATGCTAATATTTATGATTCTGAATCCATTTTTTGTATTTTTTTTTTTTTCTTGAATGTTAGGTATATCTTTTTTTTTAATTTTAATAGGAAATATAATAATTCTAATATTTTTTATTTATTTTGTATTTAAGCGACAAACATATGCGTATTATAATATATTTTTTTATTTTTTACATAAATTATTTTATAATTAAATAATGAATTATGGTGCGTCATTATATAATTAAATTTGATAGAACATTTATTACGCTATCTCTTAATATTAATTAATTTTATTTTTGTAAAAAATGATAATTTTTAAAAATATTTTAATGCATTAAACTAACATTTTAATTATATTATTATTGATTCTTTAATATATAAATACATTATTTTTTAATTAAATATGATTTCAAGGCATAAGAAATAATTATTTATTTATTTTATATAAGTATATTATTAATATTATATCTTCTTTTTTAAAAAAAATCCATATTTTTATTTTATTTTTTAATTAAAGTTAGAAATTATACAATATATGTAAAAATAATCTTTTTAAATTAAAGAAATTTTTATTAAAAAAAAACTTTACTTTTTATATAATAATAAAAATTTAATACCATATAATTTGAAAAATAAATATTATGTAAAATATATAATTTTCCTTAATTATAAATATAAAAAAAATCATTTTCTCAAATTTAAATTTCTTATATTTAATTCAAATTCATTTTAATAATAAAATTTTTTATTTTATAAATAAGGTTATTAGTGATTTATATTTTCATTATATTGAATATTATTCCTTATATTATTTAAATTTTAATGCGTAATAATATCATAACTTTACTAAATTTTTGATTATTATTTATTTATTGAATCATTATTATTTTAATTTATTTAAATATTCGAAGACATTAATTAGTTTGAAACTTATTATTGATATTTCATTACAGGTTATTCTACTATATGCTTTCCTGCTAAAATATTAATACTTTAGTTTTATAATAAATACTTAGCATTTTTTTTATCTGTAAAAAAATTATATCCATCTCCAATTTTTGCTTAACTATTTCCTCCTGGATATTAATTTATCTAAATATATATAAAAATAGACATATTTATAATCAAGTATTTACATTAAAAAATTTATATATATTAATTACAAATACATATAAATTTAATATTAATATATTAAAAATATAATACTTTTATTGATGTTTTTTACTCTTAATTATTTTATGGATGTGTATAATCGTTAGCTTATTTACCACTTATTCTTTGTCCAAAAATAATTTCTTTTTTTTATTTTATTCTTCATGTAAAACATGGTTATGAATTTTATCTAATATCGAAATTTTATTTTATTGTATTTTTATTTAATATAAAATTTATTATAATTCTTTTTCAAGCTTAATGAGTTCTTATTCTTCTTCTATTTATAGTTTTTTATTAATATTTTAATATTTTTAAAATTCGTTTTATTAATAATCAATTGGTATGTGTAAACTTTAATTTCTATTATTTAATTTATTATTTCTAATGTTTTTTTTAGACTCTTTTTTATTAACCAATAAATTTTTATATCCATATTTTATATTTAATTCTCTTATTTTCTAAATTTTCTCTTCATTTATTTTTTAACGGTATTTAACATTATAATATACATCTTAAATAGTTTCTTTATTATGTTTTTTTTATGCATTTATTAATATTATATGTGGTTATTAGTAATACATTAATTATTAATATTTTAATTTATTTGAAATATATTCAATTTAATAATTATAAAATTTTATTAAATTTTTATATATTTTTAGATGAAAATTTTAATAATATATTTTATATAATTGATTTACTAAAAATAATATATTTTTATGATATAAATAAACTTAATAATAATTAATATCTATTATTAAAAAAATATATTAAATAAAAAAATTTAATATGTATAAATGTGTAATAGAAACTATAGATTTTATTATTAAATAAATTTACTCTTTATAATTAAAAAGAAAAATATATGGTGAATAAAGAATTTAACATAATAATATAATATGTAAAATAAATTATAAAAAAATTAAAAATAAATGAATTGAATATTAAAGATGACATATAAAAAAATCTTTTATATGCATATAAATAAATGAATAGAGATTTAAAAATAAAAATATTAAAAATAATATTATTGGTGAATTTTTAATAAAATATAAAAAAAAATAAATAAGGAATAATTAAAAAGGAATAAAATAAAAAAAATATTTAAAAAATATAATAAAAAAACGCTATTATTATTGAAATTATATAAAAATAAATAAATATTTTTAATTATATTAAAAAATATATATTTTTAAATAAAACTTAAAAGTATTTATAAATATAAATATATATTTAAATATAAATATATATTTAAAAAAATTTATAATTAAAATATAATTTAATAAATATTTAAATTATATATATATATAAAAAATATATATATATATGTTTATTGTATATATTTAAAAATAAAATATCTTTACATATTAATTTAAATTTATTATTTTTATTTCTTCATTTAATATTTATAACTATTTTTTTATTATTTTTATATATATCAATATAGGCATTTACTTTCTATCATCTAAAATATATTATTTATTATATAATAATGTTTATATTTTTTATTATGAGTTTTTTTTCATAATGTTTTTATATTAAATCATTATATTATATATATTTATATTTTAATTTATATTTTGTCTATAAAATAGTTATTTAATTTCTAAAAAGCTAAATTTAATCTATCTAAAAATATTCAAAATATCCTTTCTTATTAATTTTTTAATAATTTAAGCATTTTCTATTAGTTTAGCAATATAAATATTTTATGTACTTCTATGTTGATTAAATATGATAATTTTATATATATTTAATATATACAATATTATATTTTAATGATATTCATTTCTTTATTTTTTACTACTCTGTTTATTTCTAATATTTAATATATAATTTTTTAAAGACATTAATAATTTTAGTTTATTTTTAAATGATTAAATATAAAAAAGTTTAAATTAAATTACAGATTAATAAAATAAAAAATGAATGATTTTTAAAATTGTGAAAATTTTTTTTTTGATAATAAATATATATAAATTATAATAAAATATTTAATATTTTTTACATATCATATCATTTTATTTATTTTTTTAATTATAGTTAAAATAGATAATTTTTTTTTAAAATAAAATAAAGATTTACTTATGAAAATATTTTCTTTTTAATTATAAAATTATAAGAAATTAGTTTTAATATAAATTAAATAATTTTATATATATATATTTATTCTATTATTTTTAAATAATATTTTTTTCATTTCAAATTTTATTATATTCTTTTTATATTATTAATCATTTAAATTATAATATAATTAACTTTCTATATTAATCTATATAAATACAAATTAGTTTTATTTTAATAAATCATGACATTTTTTTTTTAATGTTTTATATATTTAATTATTATATTATAATATTTTTATAATTTTATATAATTAATTTGTTTATTATAAATATTAATATTAAAAAACTCCTTTATATAATATTTTAATAATAAATATGATATATAGTTTTTTGCAATAAGATAAGAGAAATATTATTATATTATTTTTATAAAAAAAAGAATCTTATAATTATTTAAAATAATATATTTATCAGCCAAATGTAAAAGTACTTTTTGTCTATATAAATATAAAATTTAAAATATTTATATATTTTTATAATTATAACCTAAAGATTTTTTTATTTGTATTCGTTATATTCTTTCTTCATTTCATCTACAGAAGGAGCTTTTTGTACAGGAATAACTTTCTAGCCTTTATTATTTGTATTATAATTTTCATTTGTTTAGTTTTCATATCCTCCATATATATTATTTTAAAGATTGTATTATGAAGATTTGGATTAAGTTGTTGATTAAGAGCTTAAGTTTTAAGTAAAAATATTTTACATATTTTAGCTTTTGTTAAATTCTTATTTTGAAATTTTTTGATTTTATAAAGATTTAGAGTCCATATTGTTTTTTGTTTTTTTTAATTTATTTTTTTCTAATTATTATAAGTAAAAAAAAAAATTGAATCTTTTTATATAAATTTATAAAAAAATGAAGAAATATAATGCAAAAAAAATTATAATTTTTTTATAATTTAGCTAAAATTATTATTAAATTAATAATAATATTAAAAGGAATTTCTTATAATTATATATATATAATAATAAAAGAAAAATTTATAAAAATAACAAAAATTATAAAAATATTAAAATATTTTAAAAAAATTATAAATTTTGAAATATTTTATTATATAAATAAAAGCTTATTTTAATAAAAAATGTTGATATTATAATATTTTAATAAAAAATGATGATATATATAAAATTCTCGAATATATATATATTTTTATCATTCCTTATATTTTATAGTAATAATAATAATTATTATTTTTAGTTTTTTTTATATTAATATAAAAATCTAATTAGAATTAAGAAAAATTAATAAACGGAAGAAATAATAGTTAACAAAAAAAATAATTCAATATTCATTATTTAAATTATTATCAGTCTAAATCTTCAATAAAATTTAATTTGTTTGTTTAACATTCATATTCATTATAATTACAATTACATTTAATATTATTTTACATATTTGAAATATTTTAAGTATATTAATGATTTTTATGACAATTTAAAATACAATTTTCACAATAAAGACTATCGTAAAATTAATCGATTTTATTTGCGCAATCTAAGCATTTATAATTAATTAAAAATAATTTTTTTAAAGCTTATAAACAAACTTTATTTTATATATTTAAATCTAATTATTAATTTTTTTATTTTTTAAAAAGAACTTATATAAAGTCAAAGTCTTAAGGAATTATTTAAAAAAACGTTTAAATATTTTAATTTTCTATAAAAGACTACATTTAAGATTTCAAAATAAGTCGTGGAAAGTTTAGGCTGAAAATTTAAAGAGATTATTGTTTTTTATATATGTTGAACCACACTAGATTTTTTTATATAATTATTAAATAAAAATGTTTTTAAATTTACTTTCAAATATTTAAAAAGTTAATAAATTATCTGTTAAAGATATATTTAATTATTTAAGTTTATACAAACATTCAAACTCTTTTTAATATTGTAAAAAATCTTTATCTTTTATTCTATTTGAATCTAGATTTATATTTATTTATTCAATATTTTACTATAAAATATCTTTTAAAAACATAATCACCATTTATATATCATTCTTTTTATCAAAAATAAATTAAATAAAACATTATATACATTAAAATTTACTTAATCAAATAAATTAGCAAAAATTAAAGTTAAATTTTTTAAAAACTTACATTTTTTTAAATTAATAGAAAGACAAAATAATTCGTTTGCTGATATTTTATTTTCAGAAAAATTAATATATAAACTTTACAAGCAATAAGGAATATTTAAATTGAATTAAATGTTACTTTATATCTCTTTACATTAAAACTAAATATTATTTTTAGCCAAATTCAATTACAACTTTTTTAGATTTTATTTACCTTTGAAACTATTAAATATTTCACAACAATCATTATTATTTAAGCCGATATTACATAAGTTAAGTTTTAGGCTTTATAATTATTAATTTTATATTATAAATTTGCATAAACTTCCTATTATACGCTTACTTTCATTAATTTTGCATTTAATTTCAACTTCAAGTTCTTCTAATCCGCAATATAAATAATTAAAAATATCATTATAAAACTAAATCTATATGTTAATAAAATTAAGGCTCAGTTTTTTAATTTAAGTTTATTTAATTAAAGGCTTTTAATTTTCCTAATAAATGAGAGTATCTTAAAAATATAAAATTAGATTATCTGCTTATAATTTATTAAGTATTAAACAAACATACTGAAAATCCAAATTTTAAATTAAAAAAATAATACATAAATAATAAAGTTATATTTGTTAAAGGATTTTGTTAAATTCTGCGATTTCTTAAACATTTTTATCATTAAAAATTATTTATAAATACTTATTTTAATAGTTATTTATTTTTCGAAAATTTTATAAATCTTCCTATGTTTCTATTTTTATTATTTATTCTTCTTCATTATATTTATTAATTTAAATTTAATTTTATATATTTGAGTCTGAATTTGTTTGGGTGTTTGTCTAATATATATACTTTTTTAGTGTTTGGGTTTGAAAAGATTTATTAGTTCTTTTTGTTAGCGATTGTTATATAATATTATTTTCTATACTAAGTGGTAATTTCTCAGATGAATTGTTAGAGTTTTTAATATTTGGTGAAATTTGAGGAAAGCTATTTTATTTTATATCAGCATTTAATTAATATATATTTTATTGATTAATTTGAGGTAACTAAATTTAATCTTTTTATTCTTCTGTAAGATTCTTTTTTAAAACTATTTAAAATTTACTTTAAGGAGTTTATGATAATTTTGCCTTATTAGTAGATAATGAATAAAATTATTATTGTTTTAATAATCTAAAGTAAAATAATCATTAAATAATTATTACTATTATTATTTTTAAATGAACTAAGATGGGATATTTAATACAATGGGTTAAAATTTGTTTGTTTCTTAATTTAAATTTATTTTTTAATTTATTTTATTTTATTATTCTAAAGATCCATCAGTATATGCTCTATTTTTAATTTCTGATTTTGTTGTATTAGACTGAATAGAAATATTTGTTTTATGAATAAATATATTTCTATTTTTCTTTATATTATTTGAGCTACAATTTTATTAATTTTTTTTATTATTTTAATTATTATTAATTTATGTTATTTAATTATTTAAATTAAATATATTTTAATTATCTGTATTAATATTATACTGTTTATTATACATATTCATATATTATTAGTTTTTTGCTTTTATTTTTACAGAGTTTTATTTAACTTCATATTATTAATTTTTTTATTATTACATTTATATATTACATTTAAATAATATTTTATTTTTAATGTTATCCATTTATTAATCTTCTATTTCCTTTATATTTTATTTATTATCTGATTAATATTATTATTCAATGTTTTTTAAAAAGTTTTTTAATCCAATAAAATCAATTCTATTATTACTATCTACCATTAGCATTTTTTATAATAATTTTTTAATTATTTCATTTTTTTATTAATCAATAAACTCATTTAATATTTCTTAAAAAATTTAATTTCCATAATTAGATTTTATTTCATTTAAATTAATTTAAATTTTGCAAAACTTATTTCCTTTATAAGTCAATATATACAAAAAGCACAAACCTAAACTAAAAACATCTGCTAAAAATGGATTTATTTTTTAACTTTTCTTTTAATAAATTTCAGGCGCCTAATAAAGAATTGTTCCTCTTTATCTTACAGTTGTAAGAGTTTTTTCCTAAAATGAACTTTGCCCGACATCACATATTTTTATTTCTAAATTCTTAATATTAATTAATATATTATCTGGCTTTATATCATTATGAGCGATTTTTAATTCTTATAATTCAGCAAATGTAAATATACATTATTTTATTATAGAAAGTACTTAATCTGTATTTAATTTATTTTATTATATATAACTTTTTAATGAGATATCTACTTTTTCCATTAGAATATAAACTAAAAAATAGTTATCGGATACATAAATACTATAATTTATAAAATAAACAAGTCCTTGTATTTGATTTTCTAATTCTCTTATTTTTTTAAGCAGATTTATTTCATTATATAATAAATTTTCATATAATTATTATGAATCATTTTCATTTTTAGCTTTTATTTCTTTTAAAATAAAATAATCTTCGTTTGGATTTTTGGATGTAAAAAATTATTTATCGTTTTGATTTTTTTAAAAAGGATTAAATTAAGTTAATTGAACTTCGAATATGTTTGCATTGGAAGAATTAATAAACTTAATATTTTTAATATAGTCTATTATATTTATACCGTCTTTTAATATTAAATTTTCTTATTGCTTCATGTGATTATATAGTAACTCCATTATATAATTAAGATTTTTATTATATTTTTTTATTTTTATTTTTTTAATATTATTTAAGTTTTTTATAAATAAAATTAAAGTTAGAATTTAATTTAAATTTCTAAATTGAATAAAAATATTAATAAGTTTTCTTGGTTAAAAAAATCAGAGTATATATTTTTTTTATAAGAAATAATTTTTCTAAACTTTATTTTTTTTAGTATAAAATTAAATAAAAGTAATATTTATTAAATAAAAAATTATAATAATTTATTTAATAAATTTAATATTATTTAAAAAAATCAATATTATATTAATAAATTAATTTTTCATTTATAATTTAATTAAATCGAAAATGGAAATAATTGCATTTTATATCAACAATTTTTTATCTAATTTTTCTTTTAACTATTAATAATATATTTTTTCAACATATATATTTTATTTTATGCAATATAAACATTGATTGTTAAAAAAAAATATTTCTATATGAAAGAATAGTATTTAAATATGATATTAGAAATAAAATAAAAAATAAAGAATCTATGATTTTAAAATATATTTATATAATTATTTTATTAAATATTAAATTATAAATTATATATAAAAAAAATACATTAACTATTAAATGCATTTATTGTGACATGTGACATTACCAAGCTCATTTTTTTATTTTATTTTAATTTTTTATATTATTTAATTGATAAAATACAAATTAGTATTATTTTTAAAAACATAGAGATAAATAGATATTATTGTTTTAAAAATTTTATTATAATAAGAATATTAAATTTCAATAATAAATTCGGATAGAAATTCATTTATAAAATGGAGTAAAAAAGAGAAAATAATAATTTTTAGTAAAATTAAATTAAATACGATAAAATATTTACTTTTATTATTATTTATTTAAAATACAAATTTTTTTCATTATTATATATAAAATATAAATATCATATATTATTAAGAAAAATAAAAAGATTTATTTATTTCAAAGTTTACAAAAAAAATAAAAAATTAAATATGGATTTAAAAACAAGATTAATCAATTTTATGAATTACTACATTTTTGAAGTAGATAATATACATATTTTAAAATAAAAAACATAAAAAAAGACTTAAGAATACATATCTTTAAAAGCTGAATATAAAAGAAATTTTGAGAATCCATTTTCAGATCAACTATAAGCTTTTCCATAATAAATAACTAGTATAGAAAAAAAAAAAATATTAAATAAAAATAAATAACATTAACAATATAAAAAAAAAGATATAAAAGAATAATATGTATTCTAAAATTTAAATGAATCACAAAGATTAATAACTTTATGCTTTTTAACATATATGATTCCTTATGTTAATAGAAAAGGTAATTTTAATTATATTATATATAATAAATAATTTATGTATATTTAAATAGCTTTCAACTAAGGAATCATCCATACTTTTAAAGTTGCAACGGCATCATTTTTGGGTTCAAGTTTAATATTTTATCCTAATGCCTATGATAGAGTTTTAAGGATTTAAAATTTAGGACCAAATATAGAATATTTAGACTTTCCAACAGTAGATGAAATTGATATTCAAGATTAAATTAAAAATCATAATAATTTAAAAAATACTAACATTTAGAATTTGCAACATGTTAGTACAAATACAAATAGTAGTTTAGAATCATAAAACAATAATAATACTTTAGATTTAATAATAAATGTTAATAATTTAGATAAAACTAATTAAAAATTAATATGAGAATGATTCAAAATTTTTTTGGAATAAATAAATAAATAAAAAAAGTGAATTTATTTAATATATATAATTTTATTATGAATATAAAATAATATATATAAAAATGATTATATATATAAATATATATATTATATATTAATAAATAAATCAATTAAAAAATAAAACTACAATTTTTTTTTAAATTAAAAACAAGAAAAAATAAAATCAAATAAATGTCAACATTTTTAAAATAATAACTAGAATAAGTAGTAGATAATGAAGGTCGCAATTTATATAATCATTTATCAAATGTACTAACAAAATTGGTTTTAGATGAACCTAAAAACGCGTATGATGTCCTTGAAGATTATTCACACCATGTAAAGCTTTGTAAATATGATTTCAAACAGCATAGCGATTTTACTGATAATACGTAAAGAATTCTTGAAAAGTATTAAGATGTATAAGAAAGCTATTAAAAAAATAAGAAGCTTTTAAGTGTAAACATTTTTTTATTTTATTAATTTAAATTAAAACAAAAAAATAATTAGTAAATTTTGGAAGGAGAAGAAGATAATTTAGCACCTATAGGACCTATAGGTTATGTTCCTAATTTTATGGAAGAATCTAAATGGTATTTTGAAAATATTTTTATTTAAAATAAATAAATAAAAGGTTTGAATGGGCGGGAGTTGGATTTGGAGAAGAATTATCCTATAGAATTTTTAGATCTTTGACTGTATTAAGTAATTCTAAAAAAGAGAAAAATCTTAAGAATGTAAGACTATGGGGAAAAATACATGGTAGTTAAAAAGACTATTATATAGCCGAAGGGTAGGCTGATTTTGAAGATTATGGAGAATTACCACCCGAAGTAGAGCCTTTGGGAGGGGATGAGCCTTCTGTAAATTAAATGAATTATTATGTTACAACAGATCGTAAATATTTATATTTAATAAATAAAAAAAATATTCAATTTATTTTTTACATAAAAAATTAATAGTTGTGAATGGAGAATGGGTAGAATTGCCTTTTATTACCCCAAGTTAAATTTAAACATCAAGAAAAATAAAATATGTATTTACAGGAGATTTAAATAGAAAAATTATTACTAATCCTCATTTTGAAAGTAATGTAAAACCTGCTAATTAATACGGATATTCAGTAGGAACTGAAAAGGAATTACTTAAATGTTAAATTATTAGAATCAATCATTGCACATCTATTTAACCTAAAGGATTAAAAGTTTTAGATGCTGAAGATCGTATATATATTATTTATTTTATATATAAAGATACAAATATATATATATATATATATATAGCTAGAGTAATTGTTGATCCACCAGAAGATACGTTTGTATATCCCAGTTTTGAAAATTTATCTAAAATTAATGGTTGGGTTCATAATAAATAAAATATTTTGAATGTAATTATTTAAAAAAATATATTTAAAAAATCGCTTTTTATTAAGGAAGGAAAATTAAAACATACAATTCCTAATGATATAGAAGATGAAGATCCTGAAATAGTTTAAAAAAGAATTGAAGCAAAAGATCCTTTTGAACCTTTATTAAAGTCTTTAGATTTAGATAAATGTATATATATATATTCTTTTTTATTATAATAAAATATATATATAAGCTCCTGAAGGTTATGATTAATCTTGGACTATTAGAGTATATGGAGATAGCACTAATTATGGATTATTTTAGAGACAAGAAGGATATTAAAATTATGGATACATTGCAATTAAAAATTTATATTGGCCAGGTTCTGTTACTATATATCATGTAAAAAAATATAATTTAATAAAAATAAAAATGTTATTTTCTGATAATTTTATTTAAAAAAACAATACAATAATATAACATAAGTAAACAGGATATAATCCTTTTTTTTATGAGTTTTTTAAAAATATTACAAAAAAATAATAAATTAAAATAAAAATATATTTACAAATATATATATAAAAAAAAATATATATATAAAAGAATAAAAAATATCAAAATATTTACGTTGGATATGGTTTTAAATAATCTTCTGAAACATATTTCCCTTGTGAACCAGAAATAATTTTAGAAGAGAGGCTTGAAATTCCTTGCTAAATTGAGGTAAATATAATACAAAAAAAATAATATATATATGTGTATATATATATATATATATATATTATATTTTTATATTTTTTATATATATATTTATATTTTAACATTTCTATATATTTTTTATTATTATAAATATATTTATATTTTAAATAGCCTGTACCTCCTGAAGAAGTAAAATAAGAAGAAACTCCATAAGCAAATGACGATCAATAAGATGACGAATGATAATAATTTTTTTTTATATTTATATATTTATAAAAATATTGTTATATTTTTTTTTTTTTTGAGGAATTAATATGATTAAATAATTATATTTTTTATTTTTTTATTAAATTTAATTATTTTAATTTATTTATTAAAAATATGAACGATATTTTATATAATAAATACTTCGAAAACAGTAATAGTAAAAAATAGGCTTTATAATAAAGTTAAAATTTTGAATATTAAAATTAATAAAGTTTTAATGATTATTAAACTCAGATTGCTCAATTAGAAATGTTAAATCATTAATTATAAAATTAAATTTTTCAATAAATTTAATAAATAGAAGGTAACAAAATATTAAATATTTATTTTTTATTTTTTTTCTAAAAAAGAGATGAATTATATTTTAATAAATTACTAAAATTATTTTGGTAATTTATACAATTAATTAATGTAAAATGCAGAATTATTTAAATCTAAAATAAATGAATTGGAAACACAAAAAATAGAAGACAAAGTCGCAATTACATTAAGGGATGAGATTATGCATTAACTTAAATAATAAAAGGAAAAATTATTAAATTAATCTTAGAAATAAACTATAAATAATGAATAAAGATATTAGACATTGTTAATAAATTAAGAATATTCTTTAAAAATAAACGAATTTTAAGAAAAACTTCAGTTGACTTTAGTTGAGAATGAAAGGTTGAAAACTGAAAATTAATTTATTTTAAAATAATTTCATGAAAGTTCTTTAAAACTTGAAATTTTATAAACTTAAAATAGAAATCTTGAATAATAGCTTAAAGAAAAAAGTCTCAATGAAATCTACTTATAATAATTATTAGATTTGAATTAGATTAATAAATCTATATAATAAGATTTTTAAGTAAATAATAAAAATAACACAATTTTATAAAAACCAGAAATATAACAATAATCTCCTAATAAAAATGATAAAAATTCATCTTTTAAATATGATATTTTTAAAACAGATATATAAAATTCAAACAATGATTTATAAGAAGAAAAAAAAGAGTAAAAATTATATTTATTTATTTATTTTTATTTTTCTTAAAGTTGGAAAAAGAATTAAAAGAACTATTAAATCTTAAAATTAAAAAAGGGCCTGATATTAGAAGAAAGATTGAAATTAATAGATAATTAGAATATATAGAATAATAAACATAATAATAAAAATATAATAAATATTCTTGAAAAAAAATTATATATATATATATATATAGTAAAGGAAAAATATATATATTATTTTAGTTATTACAATAATAATCATCA